TATATATATATATATATATATATATATATATATATATATATATATATATATAACGGGAGAAATTGATAACTTTTTTATATGAAATTAAATGTGAGAAATTTCCAATAGAAATGATAAGTTCAGATATCATATTTTAATGAAATTTAAGTATGTTTTCATTATTTTTCATCAGGCTTTCTTTAGAAAGGTAAGGAATGAGAAATTATTGAACACAATAAATTCTATGCACATGATATGAATTGCAGTTGTCCGTTTGTCTATGGTTACATTCGATAGACAGCTTCAATTATGGTACGGTGCTTTCGTATGCAACAATGTCCCACGATAATGCTTTCACTCTGACGGATTACAATGGGTAATAATAATCAAGTATAACAGTTAACGTAATATAAGAGTATAAAAAAAAATTCAGAATGTCTTCTCAAAGTTACAAACACTTCTAGTGACATTTAGTTTAAAACATAATTCTAGCTAGTGTTGGACATTAGAAGATTAAAATTTTACTTGTCTAAAATAATGTGCGGTAATTATGTAGAATAAGGACTTTTCCGAATTTTTATATTTTTTTGCTGCAATTTTGATAAATATCTTTGTTGTTATTCCAACAGTGATAATCAAATGGGGGAGCCTGAAAAATATGTAAACTATCTATGTTTTTAACTATTTTTTCTAACATATGCCTTTACGTAGAATATCGTATTCCTTAAGGTTTAAGACTAAAATTGCAACAAAGTACTAAAAAGATTAGAACATTTATTTATTAACAAACACTACTTTATTGGTAATATAAAAAAATAATTTTTACAAAAATAAACATTGAATTTTTGCTTAAATTGTAGACCGGGTCTTCAAATTGTTCATTGAGTTTTTAAATCGTATTTCAAAAATATGCAGTCATAAACAAAAAAGAATTAATTCCTTCGTCATCGCGGTTTAAATCGTTATCAAGCGGAATGATTTAAAAAATCTGAAGGTTTTAGCTGTTGCTCGTTGTTTGTTAAAAAGTTACTAACAAAAAAAGTTATATGAATGTAACGTAATTTTTCAAGACAGTTCTATTAAATACACACTTTTCTTTTCACTTTTGTGAGAAATTCTCACTCTTTAGCTTAAATACAACAGACTTGGCTCCCTCCCGCCGCGATGCGGGGGGCTCAGAGCTTAAAAATTTTATGGTTTAAGTTCTCATTGTAGACACTGCTTTAGCAATTAGATTATGAGCAATCGGCAGAACGTCTTTTAATCTTTCCTTCGCGCATTTATCTTCATTGATTTTATAGTTCTATTATTTAGCGTTTTCGTCTGAAAAGAGTTTGCTTCCAGAGCAACTCATGATGTAAGCTCTGCAATAAGCGATAGAGCAAAATATTGTAGTGGAAATTATGTTAAAATCATATTTCTTTTTATGACATTTATTAATATCTCGGAAACTAAGCGACCGCCATATAGCCATGTTTATATTATTGAAATATGGTAAAAAATAAAAAAGGTGCCTGTCCCTAGCCGTGTAACTGGGGGGCTACGCCCTCCACACCCCCCGCACTGCGGCGGCGTGGGGAGGAGGGGGCGCAAGTCTGTTGTACTTTAGCTAAAGTTAATTAACTTAAAGTTTAACAATCGCAAATTGAAATGGAGATACCACAAACCTCGAAAAGCTACGTAAGAAAAAATAATTAAAAACATTGAAAGGTTACATACTTTTCGGCTCCCCCACTTGATTATCAATGTTGGAATAACAACAAAGATATTTATCAAGATTGCAGCAAAAAAATATCAAAATTCGGAAAAGTTCTTATTCTATATAATTACCTAATCTGCAAATTAATAAACAAAATAAATCAATAATCGTATAAGTTATTACGAATAATTTAATCGATTGATGAAATTAGTTATGAATCAATGTATAATCAATTAAATGAAAGTTTAATTAAGAATTAAGGAAAGATCTTGATTTAGAGATAATTGAAAAATAGGAGGAATCTGCGAATTCTTTTGATCCTACATATTATTATATAGGATGAATAAAAAGTCCCGGATCGGTGAAATATCACGAAAACTAAGCATTTGCAAAAGAAATGTTTTCAAAAATTGTAGGATCTTAAATGATCTATTTACTGATCTGATCAGTCTGACCTTGGGTGGCGCCGCCAAGGTCAGGTCGAGGTCAACATTGTTTTTTTAAATAGAAATATATATTTTTATTATAGAATTTTATTCTGCGTAAAGAAATAAATAACTTTTGTTCGAAGACATTTTTTATACGATCTCTATTTTTTAAGATATTTACGGAAATATCTATAAAATTATTGATTTCAATAATTTTTTACTCGAATTCAACTTTATCGAAAAATAGTAAGAAATAAAAATTGTTTATTTTCTTTCCATAGATTCCTGAGAATTTTTTCAGAATTTTCTAATTAACTTTTTAGTACTTCAAGAAAATACAAGAAAATGCGGTACCAAAAAGTTAATTAAAAAATTCTGAAAAAAATTTCAGAGCTCTATGAGAAGAAAATAAACAATTTTTATTTCTTACTATTTTTCGATAAAGTTGAATTCGAGTAAAAAATTATTGAAATCAATAATTTTATAGATATTTCCGTAAATATCTTAGAAAATAGAAGTCGTATAAAAAATGTCTTCAAACAAAAGTAGTTTGTTTCTTTACACAGAATAAAATCCCATAATAAAAAATATATGTTTCTATTTAAAAAAGCAAAATTAACCTTGACTTCACCTTGGCGGCGCCACCCAAAGTCAGACTACCCAGATCAGTGAATAGATTATTTAAATTCTATAACTTTAGTAGGAAACGCTTAGTTTTCGAGATATTTCACCGATCCGGAACTTTTTACTCATTCTGTATATTACGTATCGTTTTTTTAAATATAAACAAAATTATTAAAAAAAATTGAAATTCTATCCAGATTTTTTGTGCTAACGGCGGTATCACCAGGCACCTCTAACTGGTGGAAAATATTATAGCTCGTATAATAATTTTAAACAAATAGAATAAGAAAATTTAAAAACTATATTAAATTTGCCGAAGGATGAACTTTTATTTTGTATCAGAAAGTAAAAATCTAACAAAATTTAATAAAATTCACAACAAAATTGAAATTTATCAAAATTGAAAAACAAATTTCGAAATTATAAGTCATTTCTCTCTTTGTTATTTTATGTTATGGGAAAAATACTAATTTTTGAAAATTTTTAAAGGATTTAAACTCATCTTCCAGTAAATTTAGTACAGTCTTTAAATTTTCTTGTTTGATTTATTTCAGATTACTACACGAGTTAAATGTTACTTATTAGTTGGATTAGTGTCCGATGACACTGCGCTGAGTCAAAAAAAAGATCTGAACGGAATTTCAATTTATAAAAGTTTTTTTTATACTTACACAATAATAAATAGTACGATCAAAAGTTGATATTTTTATTTCTTTGAAAAGAATTGGTAAAAATCTCCTTTTTGTCAGCTATCTAAACTAGAACAAGAGAGAGAGAGAGAGAGAGAGAGAGAGAGAACTAGAACTAGAATAAAAACTAAACTAGAACTAGAACAATTGATTTCATTAATCCATTGTAGATTTGTCTTGTACGTTAACGCGGAAAAGATTGTAACCGATATTAAAGTTAATGACGGTTACTGGCACTTTTTATGCGTTACTTGGGAAAGTGAGTCTGGTTCCTGGCGTGTGTTTATCGATGGAATTCTTAAAGACAGTGGCGTTAACTTAGCTCGGGGAACTGTCATACGAGGTATGAGTTATTAAAATACGTATGCCTAAATATAAAGAGAATAAATAAAAATAAAATTAAAACATTTTACTTTTATATTTATTGCTACTTCTTCATTTATTTTTACTATCGTTCGGACCAGCCAATGGATCGCTTGTTATCGGGCAAGAGCAGGATCGTCTAGGTGGTGGCTTTTCCGAGTCGGAAGCGTTCTTGGGGAAACTTAGCTTGCTGGATATATGGGACACTGTCTTGGATGAGAACAATATTATGACATTGTGGAACAGTTGCGAGCAATATCATGGAAATCTCTTGGCATGGGCGTATGTACGACAATATATTCACGGCGATGTTTTGGTAATTATATTTTATCGAGCTGCTAAGTTCTTTTTCAAAACTGATTTTAACGTTAAGCTCTGAGTGACCGTTACGACACCTTTAGATATTACCTAGTCCGTTTTGTCGTGGCTGCCCTTTACCCGTAGTGCCCTTCAAAGGTAACTTTAATGTGAGCGAAGATTTATCAGAAGTAACGTACTACTGTGACAACGGGTACATGATTCGATTTAGTGGCAAGGAATATAAGTCCTTCAGGAGAAAATGCCTTAAGCACGGCCAATGGGAAGGGTACGACACACCGATCTGTACGAGTAAGTTTCGTTCTCCCAATTAATACGGAATAAAAAAAGAAAAAATATTAAATAGAATAGAGAAAAGAGAGAGAGAGAGAGAGGAAATGAATAACGGGCACCTGAACAGATTCTTTGAAGAAACAAAAGGTTTTAATTATAATTCTTCTCTATTGAAGAAATAAAGTGCGGCTTTCCGGGAAACTTTCCACGTGGATACATCCAGGGCAGGTCATATTTGTTCGAAGATAAGATATACTATTTTTGTGCCAATGGTTACGAGCTTCGAGGAAATCCTCATCGAATTTGCAATTCCGACGGAAAGTGGATAGGAATGCCTCCAATTTGCATAGGTGACGATTATATGAAATTAAAATACAAAATGGCCATATAGAACTGAACATAATACATTGGCCGTTTGCGCTTCCGCGAGCCAAATGTGTCTGTTGTTAATCACAAGCCTAATTTGATTTTATTATTTTGTAATAACGAATTTATTGAAAAAATTCTGCGAGATTGTGTAAAAGAGGTGTAAATCAAGTTGCAATGTATATATCTTGCTTAAAAAATTTATTAAATACTTGATAAAATAAAAATTAGGTAAGAAAAATTTATATTGGGTGCGGTAAAAGTATCGGACCGGTAAAATATTTCGAAAAATATAAGTTTTATAGAAAATTGTTTTAGATAAAAGTTATAGGGCTTAGGAAAATCTATTTACTGATTTTAACAGTTTGACCTTGAGTGGCGCCGCCAAGGTCAAATCGAGGTCAACTTTGCTTTTTTAAATAGAAACATATTTTTTATTACGAAATATTCTACGCAAAGAAACAAACAACTTTTGTTTAAAAACATTTTTTATACAACTTCTATTTTCTAAGATATTTACGGAAATATCTACAAAATTATTGGATTCAATAATTTTTTACTCGAATTCTATCAATTTTACCGAAAAATAGTAAGAGATAAAAATTATTTTTTTTTTTTTTCATAGAGCTTTTAGATTTTTTTTCAAAATTTTTTAATTAACTTTTTAATACTACATTTTCTTGAACTACTAAAAAGTTTTTAAAAAATTCTGAAAAAATTCTCAGAGCTATATGAGAAGAATAAACAATTTTTCTTCTGCTATTTTTCGGTAAAATTGATAGAATTCAAGTAAAAAATTATTGAAACCAATAATTTTGTAGATATTTCCGCAAATACCGAGACGGTACAAATATCCAAAATCGAATCATAAAACGTTTTTAAGACAATACTTTATAAACTTGTCTTAAAGACAACTTAAAGACGTCTTAAAGACGTCTTATGTCCCACTTTTAGACATTGTGCTGTTTGGGTATCTTAGAAAGATATGGAGGTCATATAAAAAATGTTTCCAAACAAAAATTATTTATTTCTTTATGTAGAATAAAATTCCGTAATAAAAAATATGTTTCTATTTAAAAAAGCAAAATTGACTTTGACCTGACATTGGCGGCGCTACCCAAGGTTAAACTGTTAAAATCAGTAAATAGATCTTTCTAAGCCCTGTAACTTTTATCTAAAACAATTTTCTGTAAAACTTATATTTTTCGAGATATTTTATTGGTCCGATACTTTTGCCATACCCTTATACTGCCTGTATAACTGAATTATATTCCTGTGGTAAAAATTTAGAAAATATATGCATTCAGATAAATATTCAATCGCTAAAAGCAAGTTACTCTATATAAAACAAAGGAAATTGGTAACTTTTTTGATACGAGTTGAAATATGAGAAATTGAAATTTTCGATAAAAATGATAAGCTTAGATAAAGTAGTATAATATATATTTCAATGAAATTTGTACATACACTGCTCAAAAAAATTATGGCATAGAAAAATTTTGGGCAAAAATTGGCCAACTTTAGATGACGATAACTCTACGAAAAATCATCGTAAGAGAATGATTTTTTTTTTTTAATTAAAGCCTGAAATCTTTACTTTAAGATACTATATCTCAATTTTAAGTTTAATAAATCGCTATTACTGTAAGTCTTTAAATTTGAGGCCATGTTTGTTATTAAAAATTGCAAAGTTTGACGGACTGCAGGAATTTGCTAAAATTTTTTTCGGGGATAGCGTTTGCAGCAGTACAAAGCTCAAAGCTTCCTCTTTAATCTAAAAAAAAGCAAGTCTCTGCGATTTTTTTTCGCAAAGTTACAGCACTTTAAAGCCGGTCGGATTTTGCACATCGTGTGTGTATGTGTGTGTGTCGTAGCAGAGATAAGGACTCCGCGGTTCGTCACTTCCGCGGTATTTAATGACTCCAAACCCTCACACACACACACACATACACACACACACACGCGCACGCACGCACACACGCACGCACGCACGCACGCACACATACATGCAGCAGAGAGGGTGGAGTCATTAAATACCGCGGAAGTGACGAACCGCGGAGTCCTTATCTCTGCTACGACACACACACACATACACACACATACACACGATGTGCAAAATCCGACCGGCAACCTCCCCGTGGTGCACATCGGATAATGCCAATGCCGGGAATACATAACAAAAATGCAAGGGTTACTTTAAAGTGCTGTAACTTTGCGAAAAAAATCGCAAAGACTTGCTTTTTTTTTAGATTAAAGAGAAAGCTTTGAGTTTTGTACTGCTGTAAACGCTATCCCCGAAAAAAATTTTAGCAAATTCCTGCAGTCCGTCAAAGTTTGCAATTTTCAATATGGCAAACATGCCCTCAGATTTAAAGACTTATAGTAATAGCGATTTATTAAACTTAAAATTGAGATATAGCATTTTAAAGTAAAGATTTCAGGCTTTAATTAAAAAAAAAATCATTCTCTTATGATAATTTTTCATAGAGTTATCGTCATCCAAAGTTGGTCAATTTTTGCTCAAAATTTTTCTATGCCATAATTTTGTTGAGCAGTGTATTTCTGTCAATCCTTATCGGATTTTTTGACAAGGGTACTTTCGTTCTTTCCGAATTTGAACGTAATAAGTACATATGTTCTACGTAATAAGTACATATGTTCTACGAGTCCGGCGAATAAACGCTAATGCAAAACTTTTATGACAATAAATATCGGATTAATCAAGTTGGTTTTAACTTCAACATTTAATTGCTATTAAAATTCATCTACTTTCATCAACAAGTCGTTCACACGTGAATGTTTTAATTCGACAACTATCTCATTAGTTCTCTACGACAGGTACAACATGCAAAAACTTGCTGGCCCCAGAAAATGGAGATATAGATTACATATTGGAGGAGAATGAAAGAGACGATATCACGATACTGCAGGTAATATCCCGCTCGTAAGAAAAAAATGTATACTACATAAGATTTACATTTTTATTATTATTTATTTAATTACCTCAGGCTGGTCAACAATTGGAATTCAAATGCAATCCTGGATATCGTTTGTTGGGAGAGAAATATTTAACATGCTTAGAAACTGGAATTTGGGATCACGATAGGCCGTCTTGTATATCATACGGATGTCCATCGCCAAAACGGTGCGTTTATTAAGCGATTAAGCATATATTAAGTATTCTGCTTAAAAGATTTTGAGATAAAATTACATAAAAAGAAATCTATGTAACTAAGTCGTATTTTTGCATTGAAAAAATATCTAAAAATTAGCCAATATTTATTAGGTGGGTGCTATTAACCTATTTACTTAAATCAAAATTTTTTCATTTAAAAGTAACAAATTATAACAATCCAGCAATTATATCAAAAATTTCATTAATAAATTATAAAATTTCATTAGACAGGTATATTCCACACAACACAACGTCTAAAATCGGGACATAAGACGTCTGAAAGACGTTTTAAAGATGTCTCTCAGAATATAAAATCTCCCTAAAATGTCTTTAAGACGTTTTTAGGACGTCTTATTTCTCGATTTTAGACGTTATGTTGTATGGAATGTATTTAGATAGATGTTTAATTGTCAAAAGCAAGTTATCATATAAAATCAAAAAAATTGGTAACTTTTTGTACGAGCTAAAATGTGAAAAATTGAAATTTTTCGATAGAAACAATAAGTCCAGATCAGATAAAGTCATATAGTATTAGATAAAGTATTATCATAAGTATTATCATAAAATATTTATCATATAGTATTATCATAAAGTATCAGATAAAGTCATATAGTATTTCAATGAAATTTGCATATATTTCTATCAATTTCCTTATCGAATTTTTTAAATAGGGTACTTTTAACAGTTAACCTACAAAAAAACTACAATTAAAATTGTCTAAAAAGATTGCATGTCAATCCTTTTTTATTGAATATTTAAAATTGTTTAATATTCCGAATGTAGAATAGAACATGGGTACATCAGCTTCCCGAATTCGGACAAGTCTAACAATGGAACTTATGTTTACGATCCTGAAGGAAATACGATAGACGATCTCTCGGGAAGAACGTATTATTACGGCGATATCGTTAGTTTTTCATGCCACGAGGGCTACAGATTCCATGGGAATAACAATTCGTTAACGGAATTCAAGATCCAGTGTTCTGATAATGGTACCTGGACGGACTTCGTTCCCGATTGCATCGCACGCGTATGTCCTTGGCCAGATTTCGTGAAAGATGCAGAAATCTTCCTCAAGGAGCGAGACAATATTACCATGATAAAGATTCCAATAAAAAATAATGCAACGTCGGGTAACGGTTATTTAGACGAGAACAATGAAGATACAGCAGTGAGGAGAGTTTCAGCGGAGATGTTCGTTTCCGGTGCAGAGATTATCATTATCTGCGATCCAGGATACGAATTAATCGGAGATGAAATCAGAACGTGCACCGAAGAAGGAAGCTGGTCTTCATCTTTCGCTTCTTGTGAGCCTCGTAACTGTTCCTTCGAGGATCATCCAATTTTTAAATTTTTTAGAAAATTGAGGGAGAATGAGATTGTCTTTGGGAACAACACAAATGCAGTGCCGTTTGAATTCGATGAGAAGTGGAACGGTGTGGGAAGCGTCACAGGCGCATATAAGAACTTCGAAATATTCGTCGAAGGAAATGGTTACAGACAACGAATAGTCTTGGTGTGCCGCGATAACACACAGATGAACTTCAATGAAATCATCGCCAATGTAACTACTTCAAACGTAACATGGACTTGTAACGAGAATGCGAAATGGGAGGTGTTGAATTTGTTGTTGCAGCAATATGTATTCAGCGAGCAATTGTTGAACGATTCGTTTATTTGCGATAAATCATGTGCGCTTCCGCAGGTAAGTCGAACATATTTTTCTATAAACATTAATACATATGACGGATGATATTAATATTTATATCATTCATTAAAAAATATTAATTAATATGAAAGATACTTATAAAGTATTAAAAAATAGATATGTCTAAAAATAGAAATCTCCTTTTAAACAGTCTCCTCAATTCTTTCATTGTAGATTCTTTCCATATAGATTATTTGTAAATTAATCCTTTTTTAAATGCATTATATTGAAATTTTGAGTATTCTGAAAGATTCAATAGATTTAATTCGCGCAGATACCAGAACATGGGTATATCGATAGTGATAACAGTAATAACACCGATACTAATGATCGCAAGGCGATGGACAGTGTTATCATTTTTAAGTGTCGTCACGGATACATTCTTCAGGGTAATGCAGAATCAATTTGTTTGTCCAACGGCACGTGGTCTGCTTTGCCTTTCTGCAAAGGTATGTCCAATTTCTTTTTTTAAGACCTCTGGGTACTCGCATAAGCTGTTTTTATTTGATGATGTCAGAAACGAAAAAGCAATAGCTGTAAAATTAGTGTAACATGCAATTCATGTTTTAACTACTTTTCTCATCATTTCTATTATGTTAATTTTATAGCTATTTATTAATTGTGATAGCAAAAGGAGAGTGTTCGGAGCATTTTGCAAATTTGCTAAATTGATTATAAGTGTCGTTTTATATATATTTTTATTTCAACATATAACGCTCATATTCAAGAATCATGAGCATGCGATTTCTCACTTGTTACGTCATCAAAAGCAACTTAGTACCCCGCTCCCTTCCTAGGGGCTTTAACATTTTGAACTATTAAATTATGAATAGATTTCCAGTGTTGTCCTTTTCATAAATTTATCTGTTCAGCAAACACAGAATATAATTAATATATAAATATATAACTGCTATAAATATAAATATTAAATATTTCTAGCTGTGGTATGTGGAGAACCACCTATTCTTGCTAATGCGATATTGAAGAAAGATATTAATACAACTCAAAATTACACCTTTGGCAATATGGTTTCCTATCAATGTGTACCAGGCTATCGTATATTTGGACAAGCAAATTTACGATGCTTAGGAAGCGGAAAATGGTCCAGAATGAACGGCCGATGCTCAAGTGTGTATAATGCACATATAGATGTCGTATAGAGATATAAATTAACAGATCACTTTGAGAGTTTTGTAAAATTATACTGACAAAAATGTTTGCAGAGATATCATGTGGCAAACCACAAATCCAGTATGGAATCGTACTCTATGGTCGTTCGTATTTGTTCCAAGATCAGCTGACTTACATGTGCCCTGATAATGAAAAACAACACATAATAACGTGTCAAGCCGACGGAAAATGGAGTGGATTATTTAAATGTGACGGAAGTAAAAGCATGTAACTCACGTTACAACAATAACAGTCAAAAAATTATATAACAATTTGACATATAACAATAATGAAAAAAATTTGTTGCTAATCCGTTTCGTGAAGGTTCAGTAAAATAATAACTCCACTTTTGTAACAACATGCATACATGCTTTTATTTCTTCTTGACTTCTTGTGTATCAAGATTCATGAATATAATAGAAAACGTAATTATACAGTCTTATCATTAAATAAATAACTTAGATCGTGGAGAAAATTTTTTAAAGAAAAAAAAAAGATAGTACATAATATTTTCTCAGATACATGATATATCTTATCTACAATTATTTGCGTGATTTACCGTAACCATTAATTTTACGATATCTTGTATGCAAGTATATATTCTTATCGTGTTTAACTGGAAAATCGATGTATATCAGTATAAACGATTCTTATCTCAAAAATTGGCATTGTTGATGTATGATAGTTTACGAGTATACTAGTCGTGAGATACATTCTATAGTTCAACTGTTCGTATTTCATGCACAATATATAACGAAAAGCAAGTTTTATAGTAACGTATAGCAGTTGGATAAAGTATACACTTTACACATATCATTCGACACGTAATACATTGTGTTTTGGTATAAATATCATTCGGACATATTATACAAATGTATTGTTACACTATATGAGGAAGAGCAATGAAGATAAATGTGTGAAAATCATTTTTTGTATAAACATTGTATATATATTAATTTAACATCTAACGTTTATATCGTAAAATGGAGCACCTTTGATAAAATAGATACTTCATTATCATGATTACACTAGAGAGAAATCAAATTTAATATACATATCTGAGACGAGGTGGTTAAGAGCACATGTATAAATGGATTAGGTCAAATAAATTAAACTAAAAATATCTCATCGCCAAATAACTGAAGCGCGATTACTTCTTAGCGACAGACTATTGGTTGACTGTAGGCATGTTGCTAAAAAAGTTTCGTTTCAGCCATTTTCGATGAGATTTTGTGTTTACAGAGCTCGTTCTACGGCATTGCATGTACTAGTTTGCCAATTATTTTTTCATTAATATTTTGAAATTTTACATGGTTCAAAATAGAGAAATTTTTTGTTTATTTTGACCAATAATCCATCTGCTTACATGTGCTTTTGGCCATTTCGTATCAGACATCCTGTATATATGCGCTTCTCGAAATTATTGGAATATAGAAACATTGTTTGATGCGAAACATTCATTGTCCATAATTGTTTTGCTTCATTCTAATTCTTATACTATAGTAACATTTGTAATTGTTGCTATTCCACTTGACAAAACCTAAATATTTCATTTTAAGAGGCTGTCACTAAAGACAAATTTTTACTGAATGAAGCTATACAAGACATACGTAGATAAATACGTGTTCTAAATGTTGTACACAATTCCTCTGCAAATTGAAAAGACCGAGATTTTAGCCATACTAACATAATTACTTTTCTAAATTGGAAACAATTCTTCAAAGTTCCGTCTTTGAGCTACCACTAGAATACTTAGGTTTAAGTTCTTCAATTCGTTTAATAAAGTCCGTCTTTTCTATACAACCTTCACACGTTTCTTCCCAATCATTCAAAATCTTTTTTAAGTCACGCACCTTTAACTTTTTCAAATTTACTGTATTAAGATCAATTTGTTTTTCTAGAATAGAAAATTATTGTTATAAGTAATTATTGTAAAGTCAATTTTACATAATATACAATAAAAATTGCAGTAATTGGTAAATATTGAATACATACCAAATCGTAAATCACATATTTGAGCATCTTTTTTCTTCAACTTTTCACATATCTTGTCAGCAGGCATAGACCATGATAGTGGTTTACTAAGTTCACCTAAAATACCTGTGGCAGATTCTTCCAATCCACCTAAGTAATAACACTAGAAATATATATAATAATTAGTTTTGTTTATTTAATTATATATGTTAAATATATATGTATATATATATATATATATATATATATATATATATATATATATATATGTGTATATAGACTTACAAATCTATTTTCTTTGGATTTTGTGCTTTTACAGAATTCCCGAAACTTTGCCTCAATCTTCTTAGGTTCACTTTTGACATCTGGTGTTAATGTTTGACTAAATTTGTCCACAACAGCAACACATACTATAAAATTGCATATTGATAAAGAATATCATGAAATTTTGCATAAATTCAAATATAATTAAATTATATAGAAAAATTTACCTTCACAATCACCTTCTCTTAAAGCTGTAACAGCATACATAAATGCAAGAAATATGGAAAGTATAAAGGTTACTGAAGTATTCATTTTTTTTCTGTTTCCTGTTAAGAAGAACATCACAAGTCACAAAAATATGTTTATAAATAAACATTCAAATATACTTTGATGATAAGTTCATGTAAATGGATATGCCAACACATGTTTGTGACACATGTTAGTTTCTTGCAAACAAGGATAAGAAGAAAATTAATTGCGGCATTTCATCGTAATAATTGTAAATATCCACACTTTTATCTACCTAATAAATCAAGACACTTTTATTGATCCATTATATTTTAAAAAAGAATGTAAAATATACACCAGATATTCATCTTAAATTATAATGTATTATAAGACTCTTATTTTAAATATGTACTACAATTATCAATAAAAGAACGTAAAAAAATCGTTGAAAATTGTTGAAAAAACGAACGGACTCTAAATGTTAACTGTATAATAAGTTATTCGAAGAACACACAAGCACAAAGTATAAATTACGTACCCTTACGTTTAATCTAATAATCTGCGTACTTTTAATGCGATGTCTCCGTTACTTACTCCGATAACCGAGTAACACGCGACAATTTTAATGATCCAAATCCAAATACTTTTGTAACGAATATCTTCTGACACATCAGCCACGTTTATTCCGCGCTTACTTTTGTCGAAGAGAAGCCTGAGAGCGGCAACGCCGGCACTGTGGCCGGCATCAATTTACACGACTGTTTGATACGCCACCTGCTCGCATTTTAAAGTTAAAACTGCACTAGCTACGCCGCTATCTTCAGGCGCTGTCGGTAAAGTCTCCATTTGGTGTGTATCCGTACTATGTCTATTTTCAGTTAGATGCATGTCCATGCTATACTCATAATTACACGGTTGAGAAACATGACATTACACACATCTTATATTCCGTTTTAATATACAGAGTGAGTAAAAAGTCCTAGACTGGTGAAATATCTCGAAAACTAAGCATTTCCGAAAGAAATGTTTCCTACAAAAGTTGTAGGGTTTTAAATGATCTATTCACTGATCTGGTCAGTCTGACCTTGGATGACATTGCCAAGATCAGGTCAAGGTCAACTTTGATTTTTTAAATAGAAACATGTATTTTTTTATTACGGAATTTTATTCTATGTAAAGAAACAAACAACTTTTGTTTGAAATATTTTTTCATACGACCCCTATTTTTTAAGATATTTGCGGAGATATCTTAAAAAATAGAGATCGTATAAAAATGTCTTCGAACAAAAGTTGTTTGTTTCTTTACGTAGAATAAAATTCCGCAATAAAAAATACATATTACTATTTAAAAAAAACAAAGTTGACCTTAACCTGACCTTGGTGACGCCACTCAAGGTCAGATTGATCAGATCAGTAAATAGATCATTTAAAATCCTACAACTTTTGTAGGAAACATTTCCCCAGATAGAAAAATGTGTTCATTCTAAACTCATATTGTATTCATGTATCTTCAAGCATGAGGACAAGAATAGACACCGATGCGGGCTTATATGCGCTTCAGAATGTAGACATGTTATAATGTCATAAAAATACCTCATTTAATAATAATCAACATCATGTCAAGAATTTGCAACATAATTTGTACATCATTTGTGTGCATCTGGTGCTCATGTCATGAGATTACATAATAATATTTAAAAAAGTATCAAATTGGAGTCATAGTATGAAGTCACATTGTGATAAAACATGATCATCACGCATTTCTATATGGGTTCTTTCAGAAATGCTTAGTTTTCAAGATATTTCACTAGTCTGAAACTTTTTACTCACTCTGTATATGTACATGATACTTTCTTTTTATATATTATGTTATGAGTTTATTTATATACATATATACACATGACATATATTGAGCCGAACAAAATGTAAGGTGAAATTTATATAATGTTAAATTATAAGTATAGCATAGGCATGCACCTAATTGAAAATGTACGTAGCACGGATACGCACCAAATGGAGACTTTATCGACAATGCTTGAGTATGAGTGTATCAAACAGTCGTGTAAATCGGTGTCGCTTAAAACGCCGACGTGGCCACTCTTACGCTTTTCTTTGTTCTCAGACTTCTCTCTGTATACACGTGATTTCTGTCAAAAACCCGGAATTCCAGCTGGCGAACGTTGATTGGTCCATGACTCATGATTGATTACGTGTTACGATTGGTTGCTTTAACGAGAAGGATATTTGAAAGAGTTACATAGGAAAGATCTGTTTTCGAGGAACTTCTGAGAGTACAATCCTGGAACCATAGAGAGAGAGAGAGAGAGAGAGAGAGAGAGAGAGAGAGAGAGAGAGAGAGAGAGAAAGAGAGAGAGAGACTTCTGAACTAGTGTAATAAGTTAAAGTGCAACAAGACCAAATCACTAGCGATTGGCGATTAACGATTGACAATTAAAGATTAAATTTTAACGAATCAACAAGCTTCAGCTTTGTCTTGCTTTGTTCCAATTGGTCAAGTTCCAATCTTCAATCGTCAATTATCTATTGCCAATCGTTAATGTGATTTGGCCTTTAAGAACAAATCCAAAATTAATTTTGAGGATTCTGCGCGACAAGAGAGCCTGTGTGTGTGTACATTCATACATACATATGCGCTATACACTACTCACATAGATGCAACAACTGGAAGTTAGTGCAGTTAGGTTACACTTTTTATTTGCAATTTGATGTTTCTCACCTCACAGATGTTATATTTAATTAACAAATTATTTATTGAGGTACTTCTTTGACAAGTACCAAAAGGGCTGCAGATTAAATCTGACAAAATTATTAAACGTTTTTAATAAATATAAATATGGACCTCCGCTGCGCTTTCTGTAGAATGTTCATCCAAATAATTTACTCGGTTTTTATTTCAGCCCTGTTAAAAAAGACGGACGATTCTCCTAATTATAAATATCACAATTGCAAAAAGGTGATCCTCTTCATATTTTAGTCAGAAAACGAAAAATGCCTTTGCTTGTTTAACCGGTCTCCACAAGAGGTCCCCATAGTCCCTCCTACCGGTTCTTAAATATCACGTTTTGTATTTTGATTTGTATAAAATAATATTTAGCCAACAATGGCAGAAAGTTTATGCGAAAGGTACAAGAATTCTTCATTCGTATGTGTTAATCTAAATATGTGTTAATCTAAATATGTTTTCGTACATATACTGGATACGTCCAGGTATCGGGTAATATTTTGTTATTTATGTGCACAGTGAAGAGGCCAATCCTACGACTAAAAGAACATCATATCTTGATTGGGACGAATATTTTATGGCAGTGGCCTTCCTTTCTGCACAACGAAGTAAAGATCCACGTACTCAAGTTGGTGCATGCATCGTTAACAATGATAATAAAATTATCGGTATTGGCTACAATGGCATGCCTAAGGGCTGTGATGACGATGAATTTCCTTGGAAGAAGGGCCCGCATTCTAGTCTAGATTCGAAATATCTTTATGGTAAAAAATATATATATAATAAGAACTTTTTTCTATAAGAAAATTGGCAAACAAATTGTTCAGATTATTTAACTATTAAGAGTATATTTATTAATGGATATTTGTAGTGTGTCATGCAGAAGTTAATGCTGTTTTGAACAAAAACTCGAGTGATTGCAAGGATTGTACAATGTACGTTGCTCTGTTTCCCTGCAACGAATGTGCAAAAATAATAATACAATCTAGCATAAAGACAGTGATATACATGTCAGATAAATATGCTGATAAAGTTCAGACAATAGCTGCGAAGAAAATGTTTGATGCTGCTGGTATAAAGTACAGGTATTTCCAGTTGCAATCATTGTCACTAATTTACCATTGTAATCTCAAAAAGATATTAGTATTCTGGTTATTCTCTTTCAGACAATACATTTCAAAACATAAAAAAATAGAAATTGACTTTGACGATACCGACTACATGAATCAATCACTGGAAAGTCCAATGAAAGAAAATGCTTGACAAAGGAAAATATCCACTTGTACTTTTAATATCATGTATGGTAACATATACAATAAAGAAATTTTATCTATTATCATTTATTTATTTTTTCATTTGACATTTCATAAGTCGAACCTTTCCGAATAATGTTAATCACCAAATAGCATGTGAAAATACAACTTATGATTGTATTGCTGGATATCAATTTTCTTAAAAGATCAGACAATCATATTTACATATAAAATTTAATAATTAAGAATAGGTACAAATGCAGGGGAAGTGTACCTGCTCTTTCTTCAATCTTTACAGATCTGATAATTTTCTTCTTCCATGAGGATGCAAAAAATAAATAAAACTTAATATACAGAAAGTGAAACAACTGCGATTAAACTAAGATAGGATTAAGTATATGACAACTGCATTTTATCTGCTGTACAAATGTAAACAGTGATGCAAACTTATGGCATGGTAGAAATATGTAACAGTGTTTATTTTCTCTTTTGAATTAAGCGGATAAGGTAGACCAGTTTTACATGATATAATATTTTTGTGGTGATTTAATATAATAAAAAGAAACGATTAAACATAAGAATGTTTAGACGCGCACGCGTGTATGTATGTGTGTGTTATGTACTTTTTATATACATACTATACATATCCAAATCCGTTTAATTAAAATGTTATTCCACATATTTTCTCAGTCCTGAATATAATGTAGGAGAAGTTGGACACAATGAGTATGATTATATTATGGAGTCTGTGAATTCATCACATAGAAGTTTTTTTTTAATGTTGCAAAAAATTTATATATTTCCAAAGAGCGTGTATTCTGTGTATATCGCGCAATTGGATATAACATTTGAAAATGTTGTCCATTAAAATATAATTAAAATGTATTATCGTGTGTCTTTCACTTTTACTATATACTCGATTGCTATGCGTCAGGGTCAATGAGTATAGAAATATACTATCTATGAATATGTGATTACATCACTCTATTTTATGAAACAAAATATTTCAATAGATTCTGAGGATATGTGAACTATTTTGTGACATTGAGAGAATAATGTAGAATGGCATTTCTCATTTGTTTACAATCTGTATTAATAGTTGTTACTTGAAATTTGTGTGATGTATACTTAAATCGGAATTTAGAGCAAGATCTGAAATTTCTAATTGAATCATATATGTAACATTATATTTGTAATCGTTGATTCAATTAAAAAATTCACATCTGATGTAACTCTAAATTCAAATCTGAGTATTTCGTACACATACACACACATACACACACACTCGAAACAAGTTTCGAGTAACGACTATTAATACAATTCTGTTTTAATAATGTTCACGGTAATTGCGAGTTACTCTCAAAAAAAAGAAAATATTGTCATGATTATTGCTGTTGACATACTAAAAAATGTAGTTTTGCAAAACCATCATCTTCATTCTGTGTGATGAATCCAATTGTGCTTGGAAATGATGGAAGATACAGTCTAAAGAATAACTCGAGCTAATTTGTCGTGTAATATTAAGTTAGGGATTGAAAGACGAATCTAGATGTTGTAATCTCGACAAATTCGAATGCAACTCGCGGTTAGCATTATTCATTTTCTCTCTTTTGATATTTGCCTGTGTGCATGATGGAAATTTTCATATTGAGGTAATAATCTCCGATAAAGATTGGAGCAATCTCAAAAGTCAACCCGTAAATATATTTTCGTATATTCACGTTTCACACCACATGTGATGTGATATCGTAGAAACGATAACGTTCAAATAAAAAGTGAGAAATTTAGAGAAATGACTATTCTTCGGTAGATGCACGGGTTACGAAGTTCTCATGTGGTATCCCCAATAGAATGATAGAATTATACGTACCGACCGTGTAGTTTATACCGCGTTCTAGGAATCGATCTAATAAACTTGCCAGAGTTTAATGTGCCTCCTCTACCAAGCTATACATCAACGACTAGCAACAAAAGCGATTACATTCAATTTTTCTTCACTTCTTAGTAACAGTTTTATAGCGCCGTGAGTGGATCTCCATGCATTTACGGAAGGAATAGCTGAAGAATGATCATCTTTCGAGATTAAGCGGCTTCGTTTAGTAAAGATTATTCCATCGATTCACCATTTTTCGTTTTGTGACAGCAGCCGGTATAAGATATTTTTGATAAATGTATGCGTGTATGTCTGTGTGTACGTATGTGTGTGATTAAGGAGGTAAATATACATTATAACTAATATAATGAAATGTAAATATCTACTATATGTTTATGATTACTGTTATGACGTGTTTGAATAGGTGATCAACATTCAGACAATATTGATTCAGACAATATTGATTCAGACAATATCGAGACGGCAAACTTCATCCGCCATCATTGAAAGAAAGTCGTAAGACATATACACTTATTGATATAGTACTTGAAATATGTACAAACGTTATTAATAGCTCGGTAGTATCTATGTGACCTTCGTATCGAAAATGTTCTTTTTTTCACGAGGGGAGGGGCAACTGACAAAACTTATAAATACGCAGCGTTATTTCTGAAATTAAACGAGGTAATCGCGCGACATCCTCCGACTTGTACCGATATATATGTATTGCATATATATCGATATATGTCGGGGCGCATATATATATACATATATATGCTTTAACCTTCAGTGTTTATTAAAATTTCCGTAATCATCCGTCGATGTACACACGTACAATATTCGCTATCAGCACTAATAGCTTCTCGATTTATGATATACTTTGGTAGCTTGCGTATACAATACGCAGTTTATCGTTCCTATAGTAACTTTCACAGAGAGACTTTCGCAAACGGACACTACTTCCTTATTGACTGCTCGATGGAATATCAGGGCTCCAATCCAAACGTAGATCATTACCCTGGACAAACACAGAAATAAAAATTGTATATTCTAGTAAGAGGAGAAACTAGATCATTTTTTTTTCTTTTGTTCACTCGAATCAACAGTTCACGGATGAGGCGAATCTGAAGTTTAGTTTACATGATGCGTGGGAACGGAGCCCATCCGAATGCAGCGACGGACATGCGCGGTACAGTATCGGTGCTCGATGATCGTCTAGCGTTTTGCGGCCTCTACATAGTAGAGTATTACGTAGGCATCGCTGGAAATTGTACACCTTAACGTTGAGTAGAAATATTCGCACAGAGCGCGCGTATGTATGTATACAAGTCTTGTCTTTTCTTTTCTTTTTTTTTTTTGTACCAATGTGTTAGTCTCGCACGTCTTATTTTACACACTGCACGTCCCGTACACTAAAATAGTCCGCACTCTTTCGTCGATCCATCTCACCCCCGTCCCTTCCATTTTCGCTTAGCATCGTCGTAGTCTCTACGTTGAGTAGAGCGTTGTCGAATTGATCGGCTTCGATAGGTTTAACTAATATTTAATAAGCTATGTCGTCTTCTCTCTTTTCCCTCTGTTTTCGTTTCACGAGAAATTCAGGATCACGTAGGAGCAGCGAGGTCTGCGTGCATCTCTTCGTATTATAATTTATTAGGATTGTTTATCCAGCACTGTCCCAGCACTGTTCGCACTACGTGAAATATCTTCGAGGAACAAGTTCGTGTATAATACATGACTTACTTGATTAATCATATTCGTCAATTTCGCTTCGATGTCACCTAAAAAGTGATTTTCTTTTTTAACATCCTCTAGCGTAAATCAGAACTCTCCCCAACTCGGACCTTCTCTCTTTTCTCTCTCCTTCTCCCTCTTTTTTCCTCTCTATCGTCTATTGCTTCGCCTAACTATGATAGCGATTCAGTGACGCTGCAACAGCGCGTGCCTGGATCAGTTCTTGATCGAGTTTTCTTTCTCTTGATGATTGGCTTTCGGCTCGGGTGGCCGAAACGCGGTGGCGAACGGGAACCGCTCGTGGCATTTCGCCATGTAATCAGCTATCGTGGCATTGCAGTCACCGAAGTCACCGTTGCGCAACGCCTCGAGCACCTTCGTGCAGTTTTTCAATGTTACACCCTCGAGCTCTTCGATACTCGTCACAAGGGAGAGCGCCTTCGGCTGCGCCGACGGATCCAGGACGTACAACATCCTCGCGCCTTGCAATAGATGCGGCAGTGAATTCCTATTCTTCTTCAAGTACTCGGCGTTCAACTGTACCGCCTTCGGACTGGAAAAGATCCCGGCAGTTTGGCGCTTCACCACCTCGCCTACCGAACCCTCCAACGGCGACCCGCTGGTGTGCAGCAGGAAACGCACTAGACACGTGTGCAGGTCTGGATTGTTCGCGTCCAGCCTGTGAGCGCGCTTTATCGAGCGCAGCATGAGCAGAGTGCGACCTGCAAAAAAGAAAAACAAATGTTCTCATGTCAAAATGATCGTGGCTATGCAACATGATTTCTATCGATCGTGAAGCCGGCGACTCTGAACTTGAGGCCGGGAGATACACGCACGGCTTAACATTCATCACATGCTTTAGATACCTTTGCGAATATATATCTCGAAAGCCATCAGATGGGTCTCTATTCTATTCGACGCCAGTTCCTGCAACGGTTGCAAGAACTTTATTGCTTGTTCCAATGGATCTTCAACCTAAAACATATTTTCCATTCATTAGTAATGACAAAAGTTAATAAATTATAATGTCGTGTATTTAGCCGTGTGAATCAGAAACAAATATTTAAGAAGATTGTAAGGCTCAGGGTATTTTCCATGGCGCATAAAAGAATTACTTTTAATTAACTATAAATTATTATTTATAAAAAATACGTTTCTAAATGTTTATTTTATTATCTAAATAATATAAATATTAATTTGTAGCAAAACCGAAGTGGAGATGTATCAGAGTTGTAAAAATACGAAAGAAATTTTTCCAATTTAATAATAATTGATCTGAATAGATATTTCCGTTCAACTTTTTGATTTTTTTGACAATTCATTGGAGCAAAATCGATCAAAGAATATTTAATTAATGATTGATTTTAACAAATTCAATTAAAGACTACTTAATTGACGGTTTTATATGAGCAAAGGGAGAAAATCAAAAATCGTTCAATTAATAATTAGTTGAACTTCTATCCGTATCTTCTGTGCCACATTTAATTAAAAGTTCTTTAACTAACGGCTCCTCAACTCAGCAAATTTTATTAAAGGTCGTTTAATTGACGATATGAACAAATTTAATCGGTTAATTGAAGGGCATGCGATTGATCAAAGTTGCAATTGATTTTGTGGATAATATTTATATCAGGAGCGTCGTGGCGCATCATGGAAAATGTCGATGATTGAGAAACGTTAAGTAGGATTTGTGTTGAAAGAGTTATATCAATCGTCACCGAACAATTTTCGATCGAATCGATTGAATTTGCTCATATCAATCGTTAATTAAGCGGTCTTTAATTAGATTTGCTAAGTTCAATTATCAACTAAACAATCTTTGATGTCCTATGCTCATATTAATCGTCCATTGAGTGGTTTTTGATTGAATTTGTTGAATTTGATTGAATTTGTTGAAATCAAGTGTCAATTAAATTGTCTCCAATTAAATTGGCTCATATTAATTGTCTGTTAAATGCAATATTTAATTAAAAAAGTAATCAATTACTCGAAACCCTCATATGTATATACGAAAGGTATTATTTTTTATTTTTCTTATTAGTGTTTTAGATTTGTACAAGCAGTTGATCTGATAGAGATGCACAGATAATAGAAAGAGATATATAAGTGTTTAAATATGTGCATATGTATATATATCTTGAATATTACTATAAATAATGAATTTTCCATTGTATTTTCCAAATAAAACGACCAATAATTCTGATATTTATTCATAATGTCAGTATTTTAGTCTTTAATATCATAATAGTTTTTTACTAAGGTTTTTTTTAGTTTACAAAAAATTAAAAATAGCAGGCCACTTCCAAAAAACACGTATAAAAAGTTTGATTTTCAATATTTAAACTTTTGAATAATCAATTATTTTCCAATTGCACGAGCAATTAAATAACATTTCAATTTTTATGTAGTGCAAATTTCGGTGCAATTTTAGTGCAAAATTTTTTGTGTAGCAAATTTCAATAAATTCTTCACGAACTCATTTTGCCTCACAACCTCCATAAGACTCTAGTTAGTTTATAGGCATAAACTAAAGGAGTCTCTTTGGAATCTTTGCGAGTTTCAATTATGAAAAAATCATATATCTTCTCCAATTCACAATAAAAATATATTAAAAAGTCGAGAAATGTCTTGTAATTCCTTTGTAAGACAATTCCAAAGAAACTTCTTCAATTCATTCTTATAAGTTAGCCAGAGCCCTTAAGCAAATAATGCTAATTCTAATCCTCGTATGAAAGCACACTAACCCTTTCCAACTTCTCTGGAATTAATTCGTCTAGTGTGGGCTGCTCGAGATCAGGGTCGGCCTGTTGCCGAGATTTGTTATGCTGTTCTCTTTTCTCTTGAGCTTGGGCGGCTTGCTGTCGTTCCAGTTCGGCCTTTCTGCGCTGTTTCCTCTGTTTGTTCCTTAGCTTCTTCAGCTCAGATGGCGCCAGATTCTCTGCAACACAAAGGGAACAATTTATTTGCATGGAGAAAATGTAGCCGGTGCTATCCGCACGTTCTATCGCCTACTGTAATCTACGATTTATTGAACAAATGCGCCTTGCGCTTTGCCAAGTGTAATGACGATTTTCTCCTTCTGATTCAACGCCACGTGAATGCGGACTCGTATCCTGCGCGTAACGCGCGTCATGTTTTCTTTTTATCTCTTCTTTTTTTTTTCTTATCGTTACGCAAGTTTCTTTTCTCGAAACGAACGCGACCAGTTTCGACAGAGTTTCCGCGCGCGTTTAGCATCACCGTGATTTCCTCTCGCGCGGCGGGACTCTCGCTGACGTACTTGTCAAGGTTGCGCGATATTCTGCAAACACGTAGGGGCAAAGTGTACGCACGGTGTCCGGCCGGTTTCTCGCACAATCCTTTTTCTCACTTTTCCTCCAGCGTCAGTCATGCTTCGGGCCCAGTGACGCTCGCGTTCAGTAGGTCTGGCATGCGTGCACGTGCCTCATGTGCTCGTTAGTCACGTGCACAGACCCGACGGTTACCGTGGGATATACCGGTGGGCAGAAGTAGAAAGGAAACCCGCGCCAACCCGCGTAATCTCTTGCTCGCCGAAAAGCGCCGTAAATACCGCGCCAAGTGTTCCGCGAAAAGCGATTACCGGAGGACCGTAACGCGCTGGCTGCTGCCAGTAATCGAACGAGGCGGCGGGTGCAGCGTAATGACAAGACACGCGAGGGAGGTCCGGGTCACCTTCGGTGAACTTTCGGAGATACGACGCGGAATTTCGAATCTTGATTGATGGAACTGTTCCTTGAAAGTTATCGATCACACGTTTCCCCAGAGCGCCTCTATGCATTCCTTGTCGCACTCTCTGAATGAAATTGAAGTGAATAAAGCTTGATCTACAATGCGTTCTTTGCTTCCTGTTTCTTTCTCTTTATTTCTTTCTCATTCAAAGTATCATAAGTCTTAAGCTAGAAAAAGACAGAATAAGAAACAGGAAGCAAAGAGCGCATTGTAGATTAAGCTTAATACTCGAATGATGCACGCTCGATATAATATAAATTTCTCACTCTTCTCTCTCGCTGTTATAGGACTTCAGAATATTTATGCATTATTTATTATGTCATCACGTAGATCTGTATTATTACTTATTTGAGATTTATCTCATGTGAGACATTCACAAGGGGCCATTCTCATTTGTCTGGAACCGAGTGAATTTTGGTACCAATCAATAAAGGATTTTCCAATAAGTGCTGAGAGTGAAGATTACGTCTGCGAACTCATTAGAGGTCCAGAAATTTGAAATTTTGTCCATTGCTCGATATTATGTCCAGTATCTTTGTTTGGTCCCTTTTAAGACATTTACAGGACTAGGAGTACTTAAGTGATAATTAAAATTTATTGCAAAATTATGGCAATTCACGTGCAGTTTGCCTATCATTCGATCATATGGAAATATCCGCTCATGTGGAGTCGGAATCCACTCTAATCTTGAGTGAAACATTCACTCTTATGATCTTAGGTGGGAGTATTTTCACTATCGCCTCGAGCAAAATTACTGTTTTTTAACACTCGAAAACATCAACAAAAAGTAGAATCATATGATATATTATATCTGTAATTATATAAAATTCAATTGCAAGAATCTAACTAAATTCAAATTTATATATTTCATTTGAAACAAGTCTTAAATAATAATTATTAAATGTGAGCCTTAGAGTTAGATTTGAGTTTGTTGTCTAAATCGTGCAATCAGACCTGCGAATAATTAATTACTTTTTAACTTAATTATCATGTTTAATTGACGATTAATATGAGCCAATTCAACATGGAGACTATCTAATTAACAGTTGATTTCAATAAATTCTCAATTAAAGAACGTTCAATTGACAATTGATATGAGCGAAGGACATTAAAGATATTTCAATCAATAGTCAATTCAATGAACTTAGCAGATCTAATGAAAGACCACTTAATTGATGCTTGATATGAACAAATTTAATCGATTAGATCGAAAATTGTTTGATGATTGAATTAATGCCCCTCCCTTCCAATGGGGGTCCTATTTTTCAATTATCTGCATCTTTCACTATATCATACGGTATTCTAGATAAGAATGTTATCTACAAAATCAGTTGTAACCTTGAGTAATCGAGCACTCTTCGATTGAATCGATTGAATTTGCTCACACTAATCGTCAGTTAAACGGCCTTTAATTAAATTTATCAAAATATCTATTAAAATTAAATTCGTTTGAATTAATTGTCACAATTAATTGGATTGAAATATATTTGTTGAAATCAATTATTAAAAGTTTTATTGACACTTTTACACACTTCTGCAGAAAAATACATAATGCATTTAAGTGAATATTACTTGCTTCAAATATCTCATAAGTTTATATATCTACAAATCTATCATAAATTTTCATCATAAAAGGCATTAAATTTATTCAAAACACATTCTGAATCTTAGTAAGCTTATCATTTCAATCAAGAACATGAAAATGATACAAAAATACAGTTTGCTTATTACACATAGTCGAACTAACTTTTTATGATTTTTATGACTTTAAAATGTGACGAGTACATTGTAAGATTATTATTGAGGAAATATTCCATGTTAAAGATAACTTATTTGAAGGTTATTTAAGAGAAGAAAGGTAAACTGAGTAATCGCGTTTCTCAGCAGTAGAATGATATTTTTCTATTTGTGTAAATACGATATATGCGACATTGCATTTATAATTGCAATTCAACATCTTACTTTAGATTAAAACCTGAGATCTGTATTAATAATCGTTACTGGAAGTTTGTTTCACGTAAGATACTCAGACTTTCACTCAGAATTAGATTCAAGTTTTTCAATTGAATTATATGATGTATGTGACATTATATCTATAATCACGATTCAGAAAACTGAAACTGTCAGTTAACTCTGAACTCAGATCTGAGTATCTCATCTAACAAGGAATACTAGACAACTAAAAAATTCAAAAAATTTGAAAAAAATTTGAAAAAAATTTTGAAACTGTGCACAAGTAGAGTAGTTCATCCGTAACATAAAATTATTTTTTGTTCGTGCGGAATTACAGTTTTAGGGGGTAAAACATCCCTTTGAAAAAAATCGGTTTTTTTCTTTTGAAGCGAATATCGTCGAAATAGGAAATAGAAAAAATTTTCCAAGTGAAAATTGAATGATTTCAAGAATATTTTAGAATTATAATAAAAAATTTTGTTTTAAATTTGGAGTGGGATTGATGATATACAATAAATAAACAATTAAAATAAAAAATTTTTTTATTATAGTTCTAAAGTACTCTTGAAATCATTCAATTTTCACTTGGAAAATTTTTTCTATCTCTTATAGTTTTAACGATATTCGCTTCAAAAGAAGGAAATCGATTTTTTTCAAAAGGGTGTTCCACTCCCTAACTGTTATTCCGCACGAACAAAAAATAGTTTTGTTACAGATGAACTACTCGCACACAAAATTTTAGAATTTTTTGAATTTTTGAGTTGCCTAGTGTTCCTTGTAAGACAAATTTCAAATAACGACTATTAATACAGGTCTATGTGATTAGATGATTAACGATGGCTACGCGAAAAAGTGGAGCAGGAGGTTTCGATTGTTGCGATAATGCCTCGGCGTTCAGCTTGCTCAGTGGGCATCAAAGCTTTAATTACCACCGTATTAATTCGGCATTATAGCGCGAAAATCACGAGCGCTTTCCAATTATGTAAGGGATAGCTGATGCGTTATTAGAACGCGGTAGAGACCGCTGCCATGCTCCGTAAATTCGCGAGTGGCATAGAGGCGTTACCTCAGAGGATTCCTCGAAAGGCAGCCCCCCTATCCCCTTCTTGTTCCTTACATAAGAATTATTTGTGCCTGTTATTTCGGCGCCGGATGCGCGCGTGTTGTGATACGCGTGATATTTAGGCAACTGCTGTTTGTCACTGGGTATTATTCATGATCCTATTATCGAAACGTACCACCTTCTCTCTTTTCAACACCAACAATATCTTGTGATATATGTAATAATTTCAGTAAGTGACATAGCACGAGTTTCCAATTCAGAGATGACGATGAAATTTATTTGAGACACGATTCGCGTCTCGCTTATGACGAAAAAAATGCTGTCAATAGAATCGGTCAACAGCGTCACAATTTAAGCAAATCTTGATTTTTTCAATATTATTTGCAATATTATTAACACTAATACATCATATATTATTTTAATAATCCGATTATAGTTTTAATACTGCTATTGATAATATTATTGAATAAATATTATTGATAATAGTATTTAATACTATACTAATAAAGAAGGTTTATTGCAATTACGGCACAAACCAATTCTACGACAAAATTATGTGACATTTTTTCCGTGTATAATCGTGGTAACTTTTGTGTGTGTAAATAATTATTAATCTTTCTAAGAATGAATTTATTAAAATCAGAAGAAAATGATTTAATTTTAAAGTCGCATAAATACACCATCCGACAATTATCTGACGAGATTTCTTTTCTCGTGAAATTTAGTAGTGAATATTTATTCATAGTAATGTTTGTTGTTTTGTTGATAATGTCTGAATTAAACAAGAAAAAACTGAACGTATCTAAACGTGCACGCATGTATCAGTATTCTCCTCAAGAATGAATTTATTAAAATCAAAAGAAAATTTCTTAATTTTAAAGCAATATATATGATATCTGTAAATCATGTGACACGATTTTTCCTTTACTTGTTTTTGTAGTGAATATTTATTCACAGTAATATTCGTTATATTTTGTCGACAATGCTCGAATTAGAAAAGAAAAACTAAACATATCAAAACGTCCACACACATATCGGTACCCTCTTTATGAATGAATTTATTAAAATCAGAAGAAAATTATTTTATTGTAAAGCGACCTGAGTGTGACATCTGTTAATGTGATGAGAATTCTCTTTCTCTTGTGGAATTTTATGGTAAATGTTTATTCACA